TTAAAACAGATCTTAAAGATAAAGCATTTAAAAGTATAGTAGCCGAACGAATATGTCAGTAACTTTTCAAGAAATTTTTTTTCCATGCATAATACAATCCAAGATAAGATATATAAGCAGAAGACCCACATAATCCCCTGTAACTAATAGCTGGATAGTTGTATTTTAATCCAGTTCACATGCTGTCAAGCAAGGTGACAAACTTTACATTGTTTAAGCATATTCAAATCATTGCTTGCTATTATAAGTACGGAAAACTTTCTTTGATTTCAATATTTTTCGGCGCCGCATGTAGATACTGGTTAATGACACACAAGCAAACAGTAATTTACTTGGTGTAAGACCTTTGGTCGGAACTAATCCTTTAAGCCTACATAACTTTATTCTTTACTGTTCCAATAGGTCACATGTCTTAACTGACGGAACGGTATTCAAATAATTCCAGCGTCCTTCAGGCGATCGCGAACAGTAAATCTATTTTCGTAAGCCAAAAACGCCTGCTTCATCGTCCTTCACAACCTCACTTAGAAACTAATTATATCGTTTACGAAACAATATAAGATACATAAACATGCAACCACAAGAAAGGTGGCTTTGTACGCACACAATTGCATGCGTAATAACAACATTCCAAAATGTTCCATTGGTTCTCACTGTTTACTTCATCGTCACCATAAAGAGTCAAATTTAGAACGAGCAATTTCATAATATGAAGCTATGAAGACATAGAGATACAGTATGGAAAATCAAGTGTTGGAACACGAACACTAGAAATCGCGTACTGAAGACACAATGCAGATATTGCGCTTACTTGGTTCGTACGACAACGACATTCATAATGTCAAAGAGTCTCAAACAAGAACTTTCGTAAATTTTAAACACTGTGGTAACCACACGGAAAACAGCTCAGTATTATCGTACTTAATTTTACTGTAGTAAGAAATCATATGTAATCGTAATTCCACAATTAAGATACTGCGGCCGAGTACTTAACACACAAGTTTAACATTCGGCAGGTCCGGATTAAGATCTAGGCCCGAGGCCGGCTGTAGTGATACCGGGCATGTTCTATTGAAATGTTCATAATTTTTTACGTAATTTCTTGCAAAACGCCACTTCCGTCCGAATTCTGCGAAGAAGAAACTAAATTTTCATTCTATTATAGTCATAGATTACAGTATAGCAAACAAAAGAAACATAAATGCATTATTCTAGTTACGTGACTTAATCACAATGCCGTTCAGTACATTAATTTTCTATTTCTCACAAAATACTAAACGGGTCTTATTCACCACAACATATGCTGCCACGACACAATGGTATCTCCATAACACGCGCTGTCGTAGTAATATAAGACAATTTCATCGAGTTAAAAACAGTTGTTTGTTAGTTTTAAATATCTTAAGACAATCAGTAGGTCCCAATCGCGTAATTACCACTCACGCCAAACTTTCGGGAGTTCTCTAGGTCAAATATTGGCCGATACGTCGGCTATACTAAAATTTGTTGCAATTATCCTAAGCCCATCCATAAAAAGCCGGCATATGCCTATAATCACTACCGTTTCTTTCCACACCACATCATATTAATTTTATAAATAATCTTGCAATTCGCGGTTACATAAACTCATTGGTTGATAGAATATCATTAAATAAACCCGAAGTCAATTATTAAAGATTTTTATCATGTGTGAAATAAATTCCAAGTATTAATTTAAAGCGCGTATTAGGTATTAGCTAGACGCTTTACGTTGAAATGCATCCAATTCTGATATAAATTTATCAGAAGAATTATTTCAGTAAAAAGGCTACACATTTTATAAAACAAATGTCATAACGAAATGTCCACGGCAACGAAATTACTAACCAGCCACATCATAATAAACAAGAATTGCTTTACAAGGTACATTATACAGGCCTATATGAGGCAATCATGCAAATCTACTGTCCAACATGATCACATCGGGCACGGGGCGAGATGATTGAAGCATGAGATAAAATCATCCACTGCCCCCACCAAGTAACTTTCGCCCGTGATAATATTCAAAAATGACGAGAATCAACTTACTTCCAGATGAATCTAAGCTACAATTACGTACGCTGCTAGTTCCGAATTCCGAACTTCATTTTCTACTAAAGATATAAAAAAATTTGGACAGAATTAAAATTAAGTTACATAACAAAATAAATTTTCATTACACGACAAGGGTAATCAAATGTTTCATCACGACCGTCCAAATTGGATGTAGGATATGTTCGACATCCGTAAGAGGTGGGAAATTTCTTGAATCGCTTAGAAATTATTACCTTCCGAAGAACGAACTCTGACCCACAGAGTTGGGCAGTTAGTGAGTGTAGCTGTCAGGTTTTATGGATACAATTTCTTAATCTCTCGCATGAAATAATGTGGCTATACTAGGCCTGCAGTATAGTAAAAAAATAAATAAATATAATGCCGAATATAGTCAAGACACTCCCGATGAAGTACCAGATTACTGCAGTTTTTACTTATATACAGAAGACAATGTGATCTACAATGGCCAAAGAAATCATGGATTTATGGGTATGAAATTCTGTCTACATATGCAGATGGAGAGAGATTCGATGTCACTTGTCTTCGGTTTCAATGTTTCGTAATGTCCCATCCGTTCATTTCTTTACAGAGTAACATCGATAAATTGTCTACTTGTGTAGTACGTCAGAAATCTCACATATGCGTTCGTTGTTTACAAAATAGCCTATTTCAGCCTTACGAAATTGCATCAGGGAATTAGGCGTGAGAATTGATAGCTGCAAATTACCAATGCGTTACAATTAGAAATACAAGACGTGTGTTACTGACTGAGACAAATTTCACGTTCGCATTCGTTAATTCGTGAGACCTCACAGTTTTGTACCTAATTCATAAGCTAAACCGCATACGTTCTATTGAATTTTGTAAAAGAAGGACCACAGATATATATAATATATTATCTTGCGGACGAATGAACAGTTTCAAAACGAATAATACCGTCATAATATTACAAGACGAAGATTAATTGTATTGATACTATTAACTAAAAACATTGTACTGGGAGCTAAGCAGAACGCTTTCGTTAAACATTGACAGGCTTAAGAACTTCAAATCCAATTATATAAAGGGGTATAAAAACTATCGATATGAAAGTAAACGGAGATTTCGTAAACTCAATCTAGAAATACGGCTAAGAAATAATACACTCTATGAAAAACGTACGATTTATCTGAACATGCAATAAGTCTATTAGACGCAACGAAAACTTGTGTAACAAATGTTAAAACCTCGTAAGAATTTGACTCTCAGTTTATTTAACATCGCTGTTTCAACTTCAAAGTTCATACAGCATAATATCTGAATCGTTAATTGCGAATGCAGGCCTATAACTTTATTCAGATTTAACTTATACCCGAAATAAAATTTGGTTGTTAATTTTCCTGAATGTCTTCTTTATTAATATATTATACAAATTAATAGACCTAGTCTTATTTGTCTCATAAAATATATTATAAATCACATCTCATCATTTTCTAACAGTTACTCTCTCATCTGTCCTGAATAAAATATATTCTATGTAAGCGCATGAAATTTATTATTGATCGCGTGACATGTTTTGTAACAGATCAGTATCCGATAAAATAATTATAATTCAAATTATGAAATGGATATTTAACGACAGTGAAGAATGGAAAACGGCTGTAGTGTTCAATATCATTAATGGTTTTAACACTGTACAGCAGAAAAGCGTAATTATTTATATGCTGTTTTGGAATATACTGTAACAAACGTTTTCGCGAAACGTAAAAAATATTGGACGTTTATAATTACGATTTATTAGTTGGACACTTATGATATAATATGATATGATATGATAATATGATATATGAGATTTATTAGTTGGACACTTATGATATACACCTATAGACACAAGGTTTTAGTAATAGTCTGCAAGTTTTTAGGTCTAGATAAGAAAGTAATCCTAGCAGCCCAATCAATTTGAGTTGTAATTAGTATTATGAAAATATTTACGCAAGAACCGAATATTAACGTATGTTTTGTCGATGTCGGTCATCTTGGTTATAATGCCCTGTGGACTTGTGAACAAATACGATTCAGAGAAACATAGCTCTGAAGAAGTAAACGTTGTTCCTTCGGAATGTTGGTATCTGCCTAAAAGTTTACACTGCGTTACAATCCACACGACTAAAATCGACATGTTAACCGCCGTGGGAGTCTTAGATCTCGTATAACTTAGAATTATTTACTATTGCTAACAATAATCTCTTAATGAAGTCTGAATATTTCACATGGAAATAGTTTATCAACACACTTAGGATAAAATGAGATGAGAAGAGACAGTTCTACTTCCGGTAATGAATTCTCCGGACTCAATATTTCAAGGAAGACAGCGTGCACAGATTTGCTACGTTGATACACAGATCATAGGAGACAAACTGCGTTGTTTTCCTCAATGATTAATGAATCAGCGTTAAGCATGCTTTTCAATGGATTTCGACAAAACACATTTGTTTCGTATTTAACATTATGGATAAAACAAACAGTAGAGAGTCTCTTATGAACGATTGCAGATGCAAAACCACATTAGAATTTTTGTCTCATACGAATGCTTAAGAGGCGGAGATTCATTGCTTCTCAAGTGGGTTACAACACACTCATTAGCTAAGAAAACTTTCGACAGTTATATTTCTGATTTTGCTTATGGCCTAACCTCCGTTTGAAATCATTTTCGCGGGCAATTAAGCAAAATAAAAGCCAGGGAACAAAGACTAATAACGTACTACTTGTCTCTGAAAAAAACACTTCTAATGTACATGATGTCTACAACTACACAGGAACGAGTCTTTTGGAATCTCAGTAACAAATCTGTGCAAGCTTAAGAAAGCAGGTAACACGTTTATTTTTATAACATCCCCTACGCAGCACCCTTCCTTTTAAGGGAAGGAAAAAACACAAAAACACGACTGTTTAAAATCCATTTCAAATATTTAATTTATTTCAGATTTTTTTAAACGGGGGTGAAAACCTTCGTGTTTTGTATGATATATGTACAACAAGATATTTTTGGTGCAATATTATTTACAAAGTTATTTTAATCAATAGATAATTATCATATTAACGTGTGTGTGTGTGTGTGAAGATAGAGGAAAAATGGACGATAGAATGAACGAATAATCGGACCGGTGGGCGAGCGAGGGATGACGGATATGTAAAGAACACAAACAAGGGTCCGTGTGTGTGTGTGGGATGAGAAAGGGATCACAATATTCTGCAGCAGGAAACAAAGTGTATCATCCTCGACAGAGGGCTGCTTAAGACTTACTTAAGTTTCTTCTCATTAAAAATGTTCGATGCAGACTATAGTAATTCTCACATTGTTCAGCCATTGACGATATTACATTCACTGTACATTTAAAATAATATAAAATTATAATTGTTAGGAAGTTTGTTTTGTACAAAGCTGGATGAGATATCTTAAATTCATATTTGTCGTAAACAGACATAAATGGAATGCTTTCAAGTGATTCCTCAATTTTCTTTGGATAATTTGAAATACACTTACGTCACGGAAACCAAATTGATAACATCAACAGTAATGATACTGTATTAATTTAGTTTCATAAATACTACACTGACGATCATATAAGTAGAGTGAAACGAACACCGACTGCCATAAATTATAAGCAAAGCCAAGACAAGGCCTGTATAGTGCGTTTCAACGTCTTACTAGAATTATAATTTTTATAAAAAGAACCAAACTTTTTCGTAAGATAGAGAAGGAACACTTTCGTAGAATGAAAGTGTAGCATGTTTCTAGTGTGCAACAAGATTGAAACCTCTAAAATGCTCACTAGAAATTTAAATTCTTACGCTTATGCATATAAATTTAATATAATCTGTTGTGGACATAAACATTTCTTGTCGAACGAAGAAGCAAGTGGGAAACATTACTTCGGCAAACGTTGTGTTCCGTCGTTTGTAATTATCGTCTTGTTTGTACATACTTGGATGGTAACTCAGGTCGTAACAATTCCTAAACTTGAACCTATCACTGCAAAGGATCTTGGGAAGACATCAATGTCTTGACTTGAACAATAAAATAAGAGCCAGTCGAACTAATGAACATCACTTAAAATATCTCTAAAACAATTAGAACCCACACAACAATTAATATCTTATTACGTGTAATGCATGGAAGTAAAGGTAAGTTCTTATTAAGACGTATTGCGGAGTGAAGGTACAGCTAAATGCATTAATCTTCTTACTAAATGGAAGTGAGTGGTAGGATTTAGAGTCAGTCAGCCTTATCATCGGAGAAGAAACCAAAAGACATTAGGTGTTCCAGAGCTATATATAAAAGTCGCCATTGTTCCACAAGTAAGTGTCCGTGATGAAAGCAACAAGAAGCCGAAACATCACACATTTGTGTGAATTAGTAAACCAGGGCCTTATTTTGTTTTTTCAACAGGGAATAAAAATGCAGTGTTCTCCCTCTGTCAGCCTACTCAAGCCTGAAACCTTTCAGAACACGAATTCTTATATTTTTCATTTCGGCAAATTATTGTCCTGACGAAAGTAACCAAGTGCGTACAAACAGAATAAAAATGTTTAAAATAAAATTTACACAAAGACCTCAGCTTTAACATTTTTTTAGAATGATAATTGAAGGCTTCCTTTCAAGTACAAGCACGCATGTGATTGCATCCTGATTTATGGTTGGATGATAATTATGCCAATATGGTTTATGTAGGCCTACATAAAATCTCCGGAAAACATGCATCATTATATTTTTGTATTGTTATTTAGAGCATCATACGATTTTTTTTTTAAATCGCTCTCTGTCTCTGTCCAACAAAACAAATCTGATACATTTTCCGAAGATTTCCTTTTCGTATTTTCTTTTCGCTTAGTTTTTCTTTCTGTGTTGACTCGTTCGCAAATGTAAGGAGAAAAGATATGTCCTCCTTGCCAGATCTTGAAGCCAAATCTCATTTAAATTTTTAAAAATTCAGTCCCTACCTCAAAGAAAACAACTTTTTTCCGTCACAAATATCAATTGGTTACGCAGTTCAGGAAAATAATAGATATTTGTTTTGGTACAAAACCCATAAATATTCTATGGACAAAATTCAGTAATGAGACATTAATTAAGATGGTACAAATATTTGCCACTTGCTGTTGGTTAACATTTGTAGGTCAGTACTGATTACTATTATATTATCTGGTTAACACTACTGAAAAGTGACTGTCAACTACAATACGCTCATTACAACACGTAACGGGGATTTCCGAAATTTTAAAAGCAAAAACACAGGCCTATAATTACGTATTGGCACGTCTTTAATTAACTCAAAGTAATTACAGGTGACACAAATCGCCAAAGTGATTCATGATTTTCACCAGTTTAAATTTGTCAAAATTTTAATGAAACTGATTTAGCCTTTCAATAATGTAATGGTTTATGTAAATGTGTTTTGATAACCATTCTGGCCCAAAATTGATGAGATTCCATTGGAAAAGAAGCAGCGTGTGAAGGAACTCGTCAATGCGAAACGAAAAACATGGATACTTTAGAAAAATTATTTACTAGTCTGTTCATAAAAGTGATTCCACTGTACAAGCAGAGAAATTAGGAGCCTGACATGACACTTTTAATAATAAATTCATTTAGCTGTACTCAATTCGTGTCACAGAAGAAGAAAAATCAGATCGTCAGTGTAGCATAAAAATAAGATTCTTTAACACAGCAAACAATTGCGATCTGAACCACTTAACAGTATTTAAATGAGATAACCTACCTATGCAGATGTAATGACAGTGACAGGCTAAAAAAGGACAAAATACTCAGCGATTCACATAATAACAATTCAAACATAATGAAATTCTGGGTATCGACAGTGGTCGAGATTTATCTACGATAGTTTTTACACACGTATGCGTGCTGTTTGTTCAAAAAAAAAGTGTCCTTCAGATCTTAAAACGTTGGTAGCACAAAACTACGAATCGAATAAATGTAAACTAAAAGTAAAATTAATAATTATAATATTATAACTGATAGTACAGTTTTGTTTTCTGATAATCCAGTAAGAGATGCCTTTGAGCATGAACAAACCATACAGGTAACGGGAGCACAAAACAGTGGAGTGATCACACGCGGCCTAGCAGCAGAGCAGCACATCTCACATGTACACGAGTTCAAGGCAAATAAAGGGAGGGGGAGAAATACATCGCTCGTTTCGCCAGCTTCAGTAAACATAGGCCCTACGTCCTTACACTCTGTGACTCGGTGGCGTTGAACTTAAACTATTTGGCACACTCTGAATTAACCACCCCCGCATGATAGGCCTACACAGTGAGACAGGTACCTCGTCCCAAGAATCATGTGTTATCTACAACCAACGACAGAACAAATGCGAATTTTTTGGTCAAACAGTTCACGGCGATGGAAACGAGAAATGTCTCAGCACCTGTCCATCGTCAAAATGTCTGCACCCTGCTGCTTCTGCTGGGACCTACATGTGCGTGAGGGGCATCGTACCCGGCCCGCCACCCATGGGGTCCGGTGACCCTGTGTGTTGGTGGTACTGCGCGTGCATCTGCTGTAGCCTGGCTTGCTGATGGTGGTCCGCGGACGGATCCGTGGGCAGGTACATGGAGATCATTTGACGCAAGTCACCTTGCGAAGACGCGCCACCCGAATTCCCACCCACGTACTCACGCTTGACGGAGATGCCGCCTCCAGGCGCTCCAGCCCCCGGAGTAGGTGTGTGGAGCCCTCCGGATGACGGGGACACGGGTTCCGACTTGATGCTGCTCCCGCTGGGACTGTGCGAACCTGGTTGCATTGCCGCCGACTGGTAGGGAGAGCCCGCGCCCCCGGTCGAGTACATTCCGTACGAGGACCCGTTCATGTAGGAGTTTGAGTGCATCTGGCTCATGTCGTAGCGAGGGTACCCGCTTGCAG